GGGGAGGGTTGAATTGTCGTCATTCTGTTGACGTTTTCTTAGCATTGTCCAATAATTGAAATCCGAACGTTGGCTTGTCACAAGTGTAGTTCATGCTCTGTTAAATCTCGATCTGGAGACGAGGTTGCAAGAAAAGAGCTTTACCTCCTTGACGAGCATACTGTTTCGTTTCATTTTTCTCCTGTCTGTTTATCCTCCATCAGTGGCTTCTAAATTTCAAAGCCTAATGCTGAAGATTAGATCAAGAGATGTCGCATTGAAATGTTGTATTGTCAACAAGAGCGACTCGCTTGTTATTGGGATATCTTGTGATTTTCTGTTCAGTTAATATTTTATTACCCATATGTTCGTACAACTCTAGCTTAACACAGATTTTTATATTGTTTGTCTGTCTGATTTGTAGCCAAGCCTATCTGTATGTTGTTCTGTTTATTTTAACAGTCCATGTTGGCTCTGGCCAGGCTATATTTAACAGTGGATGATCTGGATTCCTGTCAGCAACAATGTGTCCAACTTCTTAAAATGGACTCGGAGAATGACGCCGCCACTGTTGTGAGTACATCCATTGACGTGCCTTATGCCTGTCTTTTTCCAGGCTCAAATTTTTGCGCATGGCAATCAAATCGATACAGCAACTATTTGAAACCAGAGATTGCTGTTAGTACACCTTTGGTCATACAAAACAAAACCTTTATATCAAGTCAGGTCCAGTTAAGTACCCGCCTTTTTTGCTCAACGTCTCACGGTCGTTCATGTTCATGTTCACGTTCACGTTCACGTTCACGTTCACGTTCACGTTCACGTTCACGTTCACGTTCACGTTCACGTTCACGTTTTCGTTCACGGTCGCACAAAAGATATTGTTGCAAAGTATTAATACCTAATCGTGCCTTTATGGTGCGCTTAGGCGGCATTCAGTTTAAGGCGAGTGTTGGTTGAGCCATCGTTCGTATTTTGGCGAGACGTAGTCGAACCAAGACCAAACGAGCCTGATGCGCTGCTGCAGGAGTGCTAAAAAAGGTACGATTAGGTATTAATTTACCGCACCCAAATTCGACCAAGTGAGCATGATATCGCAGCCATATCAGGTCAGTGACTCGATATCGCAGGATATCAGCGCAATAGGCACGACTTCTGATTGGCTGATACGGTAATTTATGTAATTAAAGATGTCAACGACAGTTTGTGGACATCACTGTCTGCTTCATGCCAAGTGGCACTTAAGGTCTCAAGTAAGACTAGGGAAATAGACGGATACACTTCCTCTTATAATTCCAGTACGTCTCTTCAGTAGTTGTAACAGTTTTTCTGTTTGGTTTTCAGATGATGGCTGATTTAATGTTCAGGAAAAATGAATACGATTCTGCCACTTTTCATTTCCAGCAATTGCTGGAGAGAAAGCCAGGTATTGTTTCTGTTGAGATACTTCACCCCTGTACCTTCTATACTGTAATGCAAAGAAGCAGTTGATAGTCGCACAGCGTATGGAGATCATAATGTTTGTCTCAATTGATCATGTCTAGCTTACAAGTCCGTTAAGAATGATCATCTTTTGTACAACATTATTAAAATGTTATACAGAAAGATGACAGGACTGATTGAAATCATGGATGAGTGGATATTATCTCGATTTTCCATGAAATTCTTAAACCTAACAGTGAAAGAACAGGAGGTCAATGTGGAGGGTAATGACATCTCGGGCGGGGAGGTCCCTTCCTTCCCTCATTCTCCTTCTCCTCCTTCACCAAGATAACATGGCGTCAGGATATTATGAGCACCTCACTTCATTTCAATCTGCTAAGAACCTGAGGTCTTTCTCCAGTATGTCGGCTGCCTCTCCGATGTTTCACACCAGAACTTTCAGGTTTTCATTATTTAAGAACAGCTCAAACAGGAAACTGGAACATGACAAGAGAGCAGTTAATGCACGACCGCAGACCGGAAATTGTTTTCCAAACTTGCCTTCTTGATTTCAGATCATTACAGCGCTCTGGCCCGCCTTATCAATCTTCTCAGAAGAGCAGGGAAACTGGAAGAGTGTTCCAAATACCTCGAACAGGTTTGTGTTGAATATTTTTTTTCTTTTCTTTTTTGTAATTCTTGAGACAACCACCCAAAGTATTTCCCTTCAGCGATATCTTTAATACTTGAAAATCACTTATTTTTCGTCCAGGCTGAAAGTGCTATACCACGTGCAGCAATGGATTCTGGGTTAAATTATTGCAAAGGACTCTTTCACTGGTAAGATTATGTAGAGTTAGATGTCGTGTTTCAGTCAGTATCTTCTGTTCTAGGATAGGCCGAGCCCGCAGTTTGAATCGGTTACGATGTTGCTAAGTGACATGACATACTCGATGACGTCAAGCTATGATGACAACTTTCGGGCTCTCGTCTTAATTTTTTATTGGCTAATGAGAAGCAGAAGCTATATTATCTTTTTATCGACACGGTTCTTACAATCTTACTCTGTCGCTATATTTTTCATTTACACTGGTAAGTTGGTTTGTGAAAATGGGCTAAACCATTGACCTCTGTTTGTATTTACTTGTAATGGATGTCACTAAAAGGGTCGGTGAACAACTGTAACTTCTTGGCAAAGCTTATCAGATTGCAAACAACTATTCCTTAAAGTTTATCATCATGGAAAGATCTGAATAAAAGGACTGTTTGAGTGTAAACCCTTTTTGATAACAAACAAGACAACTTCTTCCCCTAGTGTT